TGGCCGGGGCCGGGGGCCCGCGGGGGTGCGATGAGGCCCTCGTTAACGCGGAACGTGAAGCTGGTTTCTGTGTTTCGGGTTGAACTTTGTCAGCAGAAGTTGGGGATGGGGGGTGTCAGGTTGCCCTGCTTTTGCAGTCAAAAACATGGTTTTTATAAGGCTTCCTCATAATTTAAAGTTTAGGGTTTTTTAGCGTCCTTAGGCCATTATACTTCTCTTTTGCTTTACAAGTACATCAAGCAAGACGGGGTTAACGCTTATCTGAAGACATTTTTACGTATCTCTGAACCACAAGGTTTGTTGTGCGGTCGAAGAAGGGCAGCAGATGAGCTGGGCACAACTTGTTCTCAGCTTGCCTGTGTTGTCTGTTTCATATCAATTTTTTACCCTCAGTATGCTTAACAAATGCTTTTCTTGGTGTCTTTCTTGGAGGTTAGATGGGTGTAATGGCTTTCATATTGCTTTGATAGGAACCCATGATGAATCTGAGGGGAACAGCTGTCTTGTTATCTAAGTTCATGCTTACAGTTGCTAACCTTTTCCTTTCCTGCTTTCATGGTTTTGTCACTACTGCTAACTTAATAATGTTCACGATTTTTTTTTTTTTCCCCTTCAGGAAAGTGCTAAAAGGATTAGATTACTGAATTCATCATCAAAAGATAATATGACTGCTTTCTATGGGATAAATCAGTTTTCTCACCTGTTTCCCGAAGAGTTCAAAGGTATGTTTTCTGGCTGCTGCTATTGCCCTTTCTGTTATTTTTCTTATTCTTCCCCAGAACCTTGTCTTTCAGACTTACAGATTTTTCCAGTGGTGATAGTCAGCTAGTTTGCAATGTCTGGTACCAAAGTGTGAGTACTTCTGAAGGATATAGCAATCCTCTTCATGTTTCTCTAGTCTTGCAAGGTTGAATTGCCCAGAACCTGAATATGATTTAGTATGCAAGACTTTTCCTCCTTTCTTCTTCCTGGGCTTTAAAGCCTTCAGTTGCAACAGTTTTAAAATTGGAAAATACAAGGTTCTCAAGTGTCCAAAGTTCCTGTTCCTACCCCAAGACAAAACTGACAAACAGAACAAAGCTTGGAGGCCCCTGGCTGTACAATGATAGCTGTGACTTTCAGGAGCAATATGACAGGCTTAATTTTTCTTTAGTAAGAAAATTTGTCTGATACCTAACCATCCTTCTCTTCTTGCTGTTCAAGTCTGCTCTTATAGGTCATGTTCATTGAGGGATTTTTTTTTAATTTTACGTAATTAAGCAGCTTTTTTCAGAGAAAAAGTAGCAATCTGTGTGTGTTTCAGAATCTTTACATTATTCTTCTCTTATTTTTCCCGATTTATCTGACTAAAACCAAGTAATGTTTTTCCAGTAAGTAAAATATGAAAACTTTCAAACAAAACTTGTTTTATGCAATGGCTATTGATCAGCTTTAGGAAATCTTCACGCTTTGCACCCACATTCCCTACATGGAATATTTCTATTCTTTCTAGAACTGTAGCAGTGTTTACATTCACTTGGGAGTATAATGATTATTTTTAAATGCATGAGTTTTCTATGGATTTGAGAATGAGGTGTAATCTCGTGATTGTAACTACAGATCAAAGTTACCTGTATGGCTTCCAGTAAAACAGTTGTTTGTGGGTTTGTTTTTTAGTTAGGAGATTTATAGATGTTTGTATTCTGCGTTTAGCTATTTACTTAAGAAGCATACCTCACAAACTTCCCAGATACGTGAAAGTACCAAAGGGAAAGGATAAACCTCTGCCAAAGAAGTTTGACTGGAGAGATAAGAAAGTCATTACAGAAGTGAGAAATCAGCAAACAGTAAGTCCTGGTGTTTTCCTTTCCTGGTTCTCAAGCAATGTTCATAGACAGTCCCAGCAGGTCTGGGAAGCACAGGGAAGGTTTTCGATGGGACCGGCACTGCCTCAAGACTCCTTGGGGTGCTGGCTCGAGTACGACTGGTTGAACATACACAAACTCTCGTCACATCTCATGTAAAGCGGGGTCAGACTTAACAGCATGAGATGTAAAAGTTGCACATTGAGGAATTGTGCAGATGTAAAATGTGTGTAATACGTTTTTTTGATCTAGTTAACTAAATCTACAGATGTTTTGCATGGATTTTGTGTTTTTTCTGAAGAGACTGAGGCAAGTTCAGTACCTGGCCTCATCCCCCTGTTTCACCTGGATTTGTACAGATCCTTTGCTGTTGTTTCCTCTCATGATTGAATGCCCTTGGCTGATCAACACCCTTATCTTCAGGACTGAACACCTCAGGATGCATTCATAATAACCAGACCCCATATGATTACAGTTTATCCCAGAGTGGTTATGGTCACTGGTGAGAAATAAGCTGTTAAATCCCCAGTGTCTTTCCTTTGTGTGCTTCACATAGCGTAACCTGGACCTTGCCTAGGAATAAATCCTGCTTCTTGTTTTAAATGCCACAGTTTAAAGAGCCCAGAACTGCAGTATAGTTTCTGTTACTAAGAATTTTTCTGTTATGTTTAAGTTTACTGTGTCTTAAACTGTAAGCTAATACATTTCTATAAAATCCTTCAGATGGTAGAAAGTTGCAGACTGTCTTCCTAAGTGCATCCTTTTAAAAACCTTACTAACTAATGTGGTTAAAAAATAATTTCATCCTGAGCCCAAATAACTTCTTAAGGAAATAGATCTCACAGTAAAAAGCATCCTCAGACCTATCTTAAAGGGCAAAAATGAATTGGGTAGAAATCCTTAAAATAAGAAATGCATAATGCATTTCTGGCTTTCAGAGAGCTGGGGGATGGGGGCAGGAAACCACAGTTGAGTATTCTAAATGGCTGATTCAGTTTCTTTATTATTGCCTTAAAAAGGAAGTTCAGGGTTCACGGTTTAGCCCTAGTCAGCAACTAAGCACCACACAGCAGCTCACTCACCTTTCCCCTCCAGTGGGATGGGGAACGAAGGAAAAAGATAAGAACATACGGGTTGAGATACAAACAGTTTAATAGTGGAAAAGAAATAAAAATAATCATACTAATACTGCTACTACTAATAATGATAATAATAGGTAATGAAAATACTGCTACTACTGATAATAATAGGTAATGAAAAGGGGAAAAAATTGAAATGTCCCTTTGGTGGGTTTAGGTCAGCTGTCTGGGCTGTGTCTCCTCCCAGCTTCCCTGCAAGACAGGAGCAGTATGAGAAACTGAAATAGTCCTTAGTGTAATATAAACATTGCTAGGTAACTACTGAAAACATCAGTGTGTTGTCAACATTCTTCTCGCAGATATCCAAAACATAGCCCGTACTAGATACTGGGAAAAAACCCAAAACCAGCACGTGTAGTAGATGAAGAGCATTACAAGACCCTTTTGACTTTTTTTTTCTTTTCATATCAGGCTTCAAAACCAAAGCTGACTTTTTCTTTCTCCCCTGTTTCCCATCTCTCTGTACCAGTGTGGAGGCTGCTGGGCTTTCAGCGTTGTGGGCAGCATAGAGTCTGCCTATGCAATTAAAGGAAATAACCTGGAAGAACTCAGCGTACAGCAGGTTATTGACTGTTCGTACAATAACTATGGCTGCAGCGGGGGATCCACTGTTAGTGCGCTGAGCTGGCTGAACCAGGTTTGAAACTTTCCTTAAATCTTGAACCCTTCCCTACCTTTCATATTAACATTCTTTTTTACTGGGAAAAAGTGATGGGAGGTGATTCTCCCCCTCTACTCTGTTCTTGTGAGAACCCCACCTGCAGTGCTGCGTCCAGCTCTGGGGCCTTCAACCTTAGAAAGGATACAGACCAGTTGGAGTGAGTCCAGAGGAGGCCACGAAGATGCTCAGAGGGCTGGAGCACGTCTGCTGTGGGGACAGGCTGAGAGAGTTGGGCTTGTTCAGCCCGGAGAAGAGAAGGCTCCGGGGAGGCCTTATTGCACCTTCCAGTCCCTGAAGGGACCTACAAGGAAGCTGGGGGCGACTTTTTACAAGGGCCTGTAGTGACAGGACAAGGGGGAACGGGTTTAAATTGAAAGGGGGGAGGTTTAGATTGGATATCAGGAAGAAGTTCTTCATGGAGAGGGTGGGGAGGCAGTGCAGAGAAGCTGTGGATGCCCCATCTCTGGAAGGGTTCAAGGCCAGGCTGGAGGAGGCTTTGAGCAACCGGGTCTAGTGGAAGGTGTCCCTGCCCATGGCAGGGGGGGTGGGATAGATGGGCTTTAAGGTCCCTTCCATCCCAAACCATTCTGTGATTCTATGAAAGTGGAATGTACAGCTCATCTGATTTTTTTTTTTTTTTTTCCCCTTTGGTATGCATGTATAGGTATGTATATATGCATATACATACGTGTGTGTGTATATACCTATTTATATAGTCTGGAATCAAGAAAGAGTTTATTCAAGCAGAATTGAATCTTGATGGGAATTTTATAGTCCATATATGTTCTTGTAAATGTAACAAATCCACCCACAAACATTGAAAATCATGTTTCTTGAAAGCTACAGTATTTCTACTGAAATGAACTGGAACTGCAGACATACAGTACCAACGTGGAAGGAGACATTTATCCACATGCTATTTTGTGGATCTGAGTGTCCAATTTAGGCACCAGCACCTGGGGAAGAGGAGGGATGCTGAGATTTTCTGCTTTTGAATTTCTGTGGTTTCCATTGCAAATACTGTAAAATCATTCAGAAGTGGGGAGAACCTCAGAATAAAATTGTCTGCATTTGCTTATGTTTCACTTGCAACCCAAACCCATGAAAATGCATAGTTTCAAAAAGAAATTCCACTCAGTTACAGCTAACACATTTCATTCATGAAAAATGCAAAATGTGTGTTAATAATATATGTAAGCAGAAACATTTTAATATCTTTGAGAGAAAAAGTATTCTCTAGGACAACAGTTTGAGTTATAGGAATATAAGAAGCAGCTCTTAGTTTTTGCAGTTTAAAAAAAAAAAAAAAAAGGTGATTGCCTTTTTTAAGGAACTCTGTAATTCTCCCCGTGAAGATTCATATAACCCCAGCTAGTAACAGTCTAGAAGCTTGGTTATGCTAGTGTTGCAAGAAGGACAAAGGATATTCATCTGGGTTCCTCTGAAGCAAAATTCCCTCTTGCTTGGCAGCAGAGGGACTGCAGCTGAATCAGACTGGACAAGACACTGTCATAAATGTGCAGCACTGCAGGAGACAGGTATGAGAGGTTGAGGCAATACCTTTGTAGCTGGACCTTGAACTGTGACAGCCATTATAACACATCTACTGGCGTGAGGAATTGATGCTAGTAGCAGAATTGGACTTAATTTCAATATTTTACAGACCTGTTCTTGGGATATTTGTGGTTCTTGAACTGTCCCAAGAGGAGGATCATTTTGTGTGTGGATGTCATTTGAAGAGAATGAAGGGTCATTCATTAAATGAGTGTGTAGTCTCCAGCTTGAAATGGGTGAGATTGCTCATGAGGCTAGTTTAAACCAGAGACAACTTTTAAATTTTGTTCATTGTTTAAACATTTCTGAATCCCTTCTGAAGCTTTCTTTGCCAGCAGGAAAACGAGAGCTAGTAAATGCCTCATTTCCCAACGTGACGTCCTTATGTTGGATCTCGCCAAGAACACACTGAAATTTGAGTGAGCTGTGTGGTTGGTTTCTGGGTCTGTTCGGATCTGTGTAACGTTAAAGCCAAACGCATTAAATTCTCATGCATTTATCTTCTTGCAGACAAAAGTCAAACTCGTGAGAGATTCAGAATATGCTTTTAAAGCTCAGACAGGACTGTGCCATTATTTTGGTCTCTCAGATTTTGGCGTTTCGATAGCAGGATTTGCTGCATATGACTTCAGGTAGCTACTATCGATTCTTTTTATTTGCTGTACTTTTCCTTCTGTGTTCACGAACTGTGGAGTCAGTGAGAGCCAGTAGTGCATTGACCAGGCAAAGGTCACGAGCCTGATTGCATCAGTTCTGTAGCTGTGTACTGGGTAAGAATTAATGCGTATCGTTTTTTAGGGTTGTGGCTTGCCACAATGAATCCACTGAACCATCACTAGGCTTGTTCAACTTGGAAAGCTTAAGTCAATGTCTTGAAATCAGGTATTTTCAGTTGGCGGTGTTTAAATTGTGTCAGTTACAAATTTAAATATATGCTAAGTGAACATTACATTGCTTAAGTAGCAGAAGTAATAAATCCTACCAATAATAATTAGAATTTGTTGAAACATTTAGGAAGTATTCAGTTAGTTCAGTATTCATCCATTTACATACCCACCTGCATCCTCCTCCAGTCTGTGACTTAGCAAATGGTGTTGTCAAGTGAATTTTGTAAAGACAACCGGTAGCTTTTTAAGTTTCTGTACCAAGAAATTTTGTTTCTAATTTTTATCAGCACAATGCAGCTGCATCCTGAACTTCAAGACAAGAAATGTAATTCTGACTAGGCATCGAATTACTGCCAGATATCAGCAACTAAGATCAATTATACCTTTGTCAGCGTCTATTTGCCAAACGTAGTTACTGCACATGCCATGCAGTGATAAAGATTTCCTGTTCCGGTTTATTACATAAATAAAACTGGATGAGGATGCTAACGGTTATGTCTGACAGTGGAGGTGTCCTGTGTTTTGATATGCTTGAGATACACATTTTAGGGTATTACTGTGTTTGATGTAGGAGGTACTTCTGCATGCTTGAAAAACTAATGGGAAATAAAATGCAAATAGAAATTAATGGTTTGTCCAAACCATTTGGCTCTTAGTTAAGAGTGGTGTATGAAAGGTACGTAGGGCTCACCATTGCCCAGTGACTTGACCTAGAAACCTGCTTCATTTTGATAGCATCATAGCTTTTGATCAGCACCTGTCCCATAGTCTGTGCCCTACGTTTGTATTACTCTGTTGTAGTATAGGAAATACGTATTTATTGATACGTGTGACGTGGTGTGTAGAACCCATAGGATATAGTAGAATCATTTGAGTTTTAAATTGTACTTAACAAATAGGTTACCACCTCTCAAATGGCTGTAGTGTGCTAACCTAAGTCTCTTGGCATTATCTCTCCCTCCTTTCACAGTGGTCAGGAAGAAGAAATGATGCGGATGCTTGTTAACTGGGGCCCTTTGGCTGTAACAGTAGATGCGGTTAGCTGGCAGGATTATCTTGGTGGGATCATACAGTATCACTGCTCCAGTGGAAGAGCAAATCATGCTGTTCTCATCACCGGTTTTGACAGAACAGGTGTGTTTCTGTCAGCTGAGCTTCAACCCAGTAGGTTTTGTGCTTCTTCTCTTACTTGTAACTTGCCTCGTGTGGGGCACATGGTTACAATCCATGTTTTGCTAAGAGGCCTTTGGTTTGGTGTCCCATCAGTTCTGGAAGTACAGTCTGATCCTAGGAGAAATACTCTTCTCCTCTGTGCTCCTTCAGTTCAGTGGGACTTCATGTCCTTGTAAAGTCATGAACACAGCTCTGTGCCTCTTTGTGCTACCAGAGGATACATCCAGTCTGTTCAATGCTGGACTGTTAGCTCTGTCCTCTGTGTGAACAGCTGTGGGTTTCACTGCACTGCATCATCAAACCGTCACAAACTATGAGATATTACAATGGTAATTAACTCTGCAGAGCGTTAGAAGTTTTTTATGCTTCCCACATCTCACGTTGTCTCTTGTCGATGAAAACGTCTCTTCCAGGTAGTATCCCTTACTGGATTGTACAGAACTCTTGGGGGCCTACGTGGGGAATAGACGGCTATGTTCGTGTTAAGATAGGCGGCAATGTCTGCGGTAAGTCTGACGCAAAATAATGAAAGGGGTAAAGGCCACATGCTGGGATATGTTCCTCCATGTAAGTAAAGCGATGTAATGGGATCCTCGGAGAGGAGATGAAAATCATTGCTATGTTTTACAAGAGGTGAAATGAGTCCACGTGGAAAAATAAAGTGGTTGCTAGTTCAACCAAGCTGTATAGTTGTGCGATTGAAAAACGCTGCAAAGGTAAAGCTATATAAGGCACAACAAATAAGGTGCTGTTGTACCTTACCACGTGAGGTAATGGCATTGCAAAGTGTACAGGCGAGTATCGTGGGTCTAGGTTAGTGCCGTCGCTATGCTCAGTGCAGGTAAAACAGCTGCTGCCCTTGTCTGGTGGATGCAATCATCTCTGGGCTCAGTTTAGCAAACGTGGAACATGGATCAGCCTGTGCTTGGGAATCCCTCCAGCAGTGCCTGTTTCCCCGTGGATCCTGTCTTCTGATTTAGAGGTGCTCTGACACCACTTGTGAGGGTATAAGAGCCATCGCCCTTCGGTGCCTTCACGGGCTGTAGTCAGACTTTGCTTTTAGTGATGGAAGGTGCACAACAGTGCCAAAAGAACTGAACAAAAGCTTAGTGTGCTCTATGTTTGTGTGTGCGTGAGCATTTAAAAACCTGTCTTGTAAGGGAATTTGTGATCTCTAGTCGCTTGGTGAGCTTTCAGAGCTACACAGCTCTATATTGTCTGTCCATCACTAATGAGCATGATGAAGGGAGGAGAGGATGTCAAGGCTTAGATTGCTTTTCAGCACCCGCATTGCAGCAACGCTGAATCCTCAGAAAGGATCTAAGGTTTCGCACATGAAAGCGGAGGACGGAGGAGTGAGGAGCACAGCTGTAAATAGTGTAGGCAATGAAGAAATAAAAGGGTTGCAGCTGATTCCCTGCTTGTCCCCAGCACCTCACCTACTGCGGAGGCATGGAGGAGAGAGGGCGTTACATGAACATGAATTCCGGGAACTTACTTCTGGCCAGTCTCCACTTCCAGTATTTATTGTATTCTTCTGTTTCATTTGTAGGTATAGCAGATACAGTTTCATCAGTGTTTGTTTGACACTCACTGGACGAAGACCACCATTATCATTTGGATAATAGCTTGGTGCACACTTTATGTGAAGATTTACTTCAAAGCAACGTTTTCCGAAATAAGAAATGACTGTAAGGGCACTTCCTGCTTTTAGGCAGTACAGGAATGAGTTGGCTGGAGTTTTTAAAAGCATTTTTATGTTGAATGTGTCATGTGTGTCAAATCTCCCATGGAATATGAAGACTCAGAATCAACTGCAGCGTACGCAAAAAGAAGTTACAAAGAGGGACTGAAACTCTCAATGCAAACTCTGTCCAGGAGTTGAATGCTACTCCATAAAAAATACCTTACAAGGAAAGAAGTGATGAAAAATAAGGAATATGGATCAAATAAGCAATGGTATGACAGCGTATAATCAAAATGCTTTGAATATAAGAACCACCGTGATTAGGACTGTTTTTATTGGGCAGGGAGGAAGGGCAGTTGTAAGAAAGTATTCTGTTTTCCTTTGATACCTGTCTTGGCTTTTCTAGCACCTCTGACAGACACACACCTTTTGTCTTCCTCCCTTTTATGAAATCCCGCTTTTTCTCTTTTTTCCAGAGACAGCACCCGCTGTCTCAGAAGTGCTGCAGTCCTTCAGTTTCAGTCTTCATCCTTTAGTGGGTAAATGTAACTCCAGAGCAGGGAGTGTGTTTTGGAAAGTGCCTAGAATATCACAGTCTTCTGGATTAGTTTGTTAGGTGGATAGAAAATTAAGAAGTAACTGTATTTAGGCAAACTGAGGCAGTTCTAGTGGTTTAACATCCCGTGGCCTGGCAGGATGTATGTGTTTAGCAAATCAGCCTTTGCGTGCTTTGGGAGTTGTGTCGATTCCATGCCTTCTCCCTCCTCTACTGCACAACAGTGAAGCCAGTTGCAAAGCAGAAATTAAAAAACCTACTATAGAAAAAATTGTGAGGGTGGTTAATGTATATTGGGCACCTTTAGAAAGAGGCAATTACAGAATACTCCAAATAAACTGGA